AACAACAACACAACAACAAACAAACAACAAACAACAACAAACAAACAAAACAAAAAACAAAAACAAAAAACAAAACAAAAAACAAAACAAAACAACAACAACAAACAGGTTCAAAAGCAAGAAGTCACCGCAAGGTCAAGTCGCTACACCAGTATGCAGCCAAGCAATATAACTAACATGCCTTCACGACACTTGACAAGGGTGTCTCTGGGCATGCTGCCTCCAAAGTCCAAAATATAGATTTTCCCCACGTTTTAACCGGTGTTTAATGTTCCTGTACAGTTTACACTTCAACATAATTACTTCATGCAGCCGCGTTGTTGTGCAAGGGTCGAACTTGCCAGAAAAAAATGAACTTATCACGGTTAATTGTTTACCCTTGTTTGTAATGCGATAATTCACAGCCTGTTTAAGTTAAGAGAATTCAGAACATTAAAGATCAAAGGGAAGTTGAACAATAGATCCGTCGGTAGAGGATGTTCTGATTTAACTACCGACTTCCTGGGAGACGGACGACGTGTGTTGTTTCCGTGGACACGCGGGGTAAGTTTTAACTTTTCAAAGACGCAGTGGACATAGATTGTGCGCATCCTCGATTTTAACTGTTGACTGACAGCACTTTCACGTTCTTTTTCATCCCGGGCAGTATCCATATCTGTCCCTGTGGTTTTATGTAGGCCTACCCCGCATAATTTAGCAAAATTTGATCATTTTTGCACAATTTCTGATTGTTTTCTTTTATCATTCTTTGTTGAAATTAACAGAATCGCAAAATTTCACATTTTGGGGCTCAGTTGGCAAAATTTCATAACTTTTCTCGTGTATAAAACCACGGGGACAGTTTTAAGGACGTAGTGACATAGACTGTGCGCATCCTCGATTTTATCTGTTGACTGGTGACAGTACTTTCTGCCATGCGGTATTTCTCATCCTGGGCAGTATCCACATATCTAGGATCCTAGCACCAAAGTGCTCTCGTGTTGCTCAACGTTGTGAGATTGCACAACAGAAACAAAAACGCAATCGTGTCCATAAAAAGGACCCCCATCCTACACTCCATGTTTGCTTCAATATCATTTATTTATTTGGCTAAAGCGAAGCACATCGACACAATAATGGTTACTTTAAAGGGGGGGGGGGGGG